GTGCGAGCTAAAGCCTCAGCAGTAGTCTTACTGAATAATTCTGCTAGTATTTCAGTGCTGTTCTTCTCGGATTTCTCTGCCTCCTTCTTCTCAGTGTTTATACCCATGGGATACATGATTTCTAGGCAATAGGACTTCTTAGTATAGTTTGATGATTTGGTTCAAAAGTAAACTTGCTGAATTTTTCTAGCGGATCACACACGCTCTTATTTTCTGCCTAAGCCTAAGGGTTAATCTGAAACAAATTCAAAGAGCACATTTAGTAATTTACTATTTACTGTGTGTGCACTCTGCTAGGCCCCTATGCTGTATCACTATCAGTGTTAGTCCGAGATTTCTCTGACCAATGCCCACACCGACGATTTTGGTGGTTTTGGTGTGGGTTAGGTCAGAGCAACTTGCCTATGCAAAACGTGGAATTTTTCCGATCCCGCCGAGGATCGCTGTTTCATCCACAGGCACTTTAGTCCAAGATTTTTAGCTAAAACCCGGACATTTTTCAAAACAAGCTGAATTTTTCAGGATGAGTTCAGAATAATGTGTAGAATAACATACTAAAAGTCCCCGGAAATCCCCCTTGTGCGTTTTCCAGAATCCAAGATGGCGTCCAAAATTGCCCCCATTTAGGGTTTTTCCCATAACTCTGGCTCCAGTCGAGCTAGAAACATGAATTAAATGTCTAATTATATGTTTTAATGCCCAAGGAATCTACTTAGGTACTTTTTGTGAGGTTTCAAGTGATGCAAGTACCCTAATCCAAGATGATAGCGATAGGCGATCCCTTACACTCTACCCCCGCCAAACATCCCATGGATTTTTCCACAACTTAAACAATATAAAATCAATAACAAGTGCTTCCAAACGTACATCATGAACATCGTTGTATATTTAGCCATATACCTAGAAAAGCTACATTCAACTGTTAAAATATCCCCTGTGCCCTACAAACATATAACTGGTTCTCTCCTAAAGTATGCTACCTTCAGAACGACAACTTTCAAACTAAACTTTCGCATACATTTTATACAAAACATCTAGAAATTATGCATATCCAAAACAAAATATTAATGTATTATAATAGCTAGGAGACTTATCCTATTCTCGCTATGAAACCACAATACATTTGATGGGGTAACCGAAGTGTCTATGAACAGGACCTGACAGTACCATTTGACATCTTCTGCGTCATCAGTCAGAGCTGTTTCATCATCTATGGGTGCTTCTAGCGCTGGTGCTGTATTGTTGCAGGACTGGCCGATGAATTTACTGCACATTGAGGAGCAGAATAAGGCCAGCTTCTTGCAGCTGCATGTCATGTTGCTCCATCCATCCTGTCTGCATCCACAAGACACCATGTTGAGAAGAACGTCAGGTGCAACAGGGATGTCCATTCCCACAGGTGCTAGACTGCCATCTTGAGATCGCCATTCCCATTCAGTAGAAGGCAGGCTGTTGCCCATCCATTCTTGAACAGTTAGATATGTCCGGTATGAATGCTGCTTTGCTGCCGCACTTTTTGGGAGTAAGCTTGAGAGTTGAAATGAAGAACTCAATGAGCTGCGACCTATTGCACGCTTGTATGCAATGTTGCGATATTCATCCAACGTTTCAACTTTGTCTGCTCCATACAGCGCAAGGATGAATACTTCTCCGGCTTGTTTCACCTCTTCGTGTGGGCTTCGGTTGTTGGTGAATATATCAAGCAAGTCATATTCACCCTTCTTGTGCACCATATTGAAAGCTTTCCGCTTGCCCTGACGATATATTGCAGATACTGTATCACAGCCGGTTACAGCGTGCAGAAACATCAAGTGAGCTCTTGTTACAGAGTAAGGAAATTGTCACACGCGAAAGGAAACCCACGGGGGACACCACCCACACTCGTTACCAACCCAGCAAAGTGTGACAGACGAAGGAAGACCACGGGCAACACCCGCCACTCGTTACCGACCCAAGAATATGCCACAGACAAGGGAAACGCAGGGGGACACCACCCACACTCGTTACCGACCCAGCCAAGTGTCACAGATGAAGGAAACCCACGGAGGACACCACCCACACTCGTTATCGAATCGAGAAAATATCACAGACGAAGAGAGCCCACGGGGGAGGACACCACCCACACTGCAACAGACGCTATTAGCTAGTATTAGTCCTACTGCATTGCCGCTCACATACGAACAGTGGCCTGTGTACTGCCGCCCCCGCGCGCAGCGGCAGCAGCAGCAGCAGCAGCAATGTAGGGCAATAGGTGGAGGAGACAGACAATCCATCACAAAGCAAGGCTGGCTTGAGGCAAACCATGCCAGGACAAATACAAACACGGGCTCACGCACGGTAGATCGATGAGTGCGCCAATACACACAGTCACACACACACACACACCGCACCGTCCGAACATAAAATACATATAGCACATATGTCATGAGATAATACACGTGTACATACATATATATAAATATATATATATCAAGAGTACATAATAGAGACTCTATTATGTACTCTTGATATATGTATATGCGCAATGTCTGTGCCTGTGTGCCGGACCTCCTCCTAAACTACAAGGTCGATTATTAAACACGGAGCGCGCAACCGGCGTGTTTTTAGGCTAAAGAAATTACACGACGACA